AGACCAGGTTTACCACGATGATCTCACCAGATTATACTATCGTGTGATGTCACAGACATCTCAGTGAGTATGACTGGACTCTAACTGCCTAATGATGCTGTTCTCAAAGTATGTCATTCAGTGACACATGGTTAGACGTGAAAGGGGACCTCAGGTAAGCTTACAAACGCTAACTATTCACACACACACAGCTTGCTCATGCTGCACTTGCTGCTCCTACGATGGAGCCTGGTCCAGCAGCACGTATCCCTGCCCACATCTTCAGCCCTCACCAGAGCTGTGACACTGTGCTGCAGCCATCCTAAAGAGGACCAGAAGTGGCCTCAGCCCATGCTTGAGTCCTGGCCCCACTACTGACTCTAGCTTCCTGTTAACGCACAACCTGGAAGGCTCAAGTTCTTAGGTCACCGCCACCGCCATGGAAGATTAAGATTGAGGTACCACCGCCCCCATCCCAGCTCAAGCCTGGCCTGACCCTGGCTGTTTTGCAGGCATATGGGGAATAAACTGGACGGGAGTGTTGGTACACGTATGTGTCCGTATCTCAAAAAGTAAAACAATAAAATAACTGTTTGATAAAACACAGAGATGGACCATGCTTTCCTGGGACAGAAGGGAAGTGTCGAGTTAGGAGGAGAACGGTGAAGGCTGAAGGGCATTTTCAGCCTGTGGCAGGTGCGTGCACCTCTTTAAAAACTGCAATGTCAGCAATAACCTAGAGATTGCACTTAGGACGTGTAAGGCAAATGGAAAGAGTTCATTACCATTCTAGAAATGCAAATTCACATGGATGCCTACCCCAAAACTAACAGCAAAAAAATCACTCAGGAAGACTTTATTGTCTTCAATGGCATGTTTGGGTCTCACTGTTTTCCCCAACGAATCAATGCTGTTTTCCTAATAATTAAAAAAAAAAAAACCAGAACCTTTTCATTAAATAGAAGCATACATACACAGTGTTCCCTAGATGTTAACTGAAACAATAATATATGATTTAGCATGAAATGAAAAGAAATGTCATTGGCTTTTTTGTTTTGTTTTTTTTTACTAACCAGTTTTCAATTGCTGTTTAATCTAATTGCTTCATTTCCATAGAAACAAAACTCACCACAATCTTTTTCCTCAAGTAAAAAAAAGTCTTGCAGGGGCACACGGCTCCTGTAGCCCTTCGCAGTTTTGCACACCGCTTTCTTTCCTGGGGAAGTGCCCGCTGGGGGCAGGCATGGAGCCTAGCCCCCTAGGACACCACGTAGAGCCAGGCTCTGACTGCCAGCTCAAGCTTCCCGCTCATGCGGACTCTGAGAGGCAGCAGCAGGTGGCAGCTGAGGCAGTCTGCCCTCCCCGCCCCCATTCCTCACCCCCTGCGTCACTTGGGAGAGCTGCATTGAGTGTCCAGGTTTTTGTGGACACCTGGGGAAGGAACAAGCAAATGGAAAGTTTGTCAAATAAACAGAATTTTCAAAATTGAACTTGACTTGGAAAAGGAGAAGGAGGAGGAAGAGGAGGAAAAGCAGAAGAAGAACATCCGTGCCATAGCACTGCACGCTGCTTCCCAGGGCACAGAAACAGCCTGGCTCTCTCTTTTCCACAAGATTCTGAATCCCCCGTGAGATTTCTTTGTCCTCCAACTTGCTTTCTACACCAGTGTTGCTAGGTATTGGTCCACTTTCTTTGCTTTTCTGGAAAAGCAGGTGTTTGTATTTCAGGAAAATCAGATGTCGTCCTCCTTAAAAGCAATTACACACACAACAGTTTGCTATCAACCTGCACCATGGTTCCTCCATGGGAAGATAAAGCATGGTTTTAAGAACTGACTTTTGGCAACGAAGACGGAGATGGCAAATTACAGGGAAATGTCTGCTGTGTGTTTCACTTTATTTCAACATAATGATTTGCTTGTAAAACACATGAGAGGAAGGGAAATGGATGAGAACAGTTTTTAAGATCAGAGAACTAACTCAGAAGGAGGATTGCCTTCGTCTAGCCTCGAGATAAAAGTTCATAACGACGCGGAGGTTAAGAATTTGGTCTCTGCTGTTTACTGCCTGGGTTCAAAGCCTGACCCACCATGAATATGTTGGCAAATTAGTCAAATTATTTATCTATGCCTTGGTTTCCTCATCAGGATAATGAAAGCAACTACTTATTAGTGCTGTTATGAAGTCTGAATGCAGTTAATATGCATAGAAGAACAAAAAAGATCTGGCATGGAGAACGCACCGTGTAAGTAATTACTATTATTAGTGGCAGGCTACCAGGAAGTAAGAATGAAGCAATTTTCCTAACACATTTATTCCTAGACTTGATTTCACTATAATTCTAGGTTATGTATAATGTGTATATATATATATTGTTTTTTTCATTCTGACATCCTTACCCGCCAGGAGTTTGGAGTTTTTACCCCATCCTCCCGGCAAGTATTCAGGTAATATACACACCATTTCTGGAATACAGGGAAACCGAAGAATTAATAGTGCAAGTGAGTTAATTATGGGGGAAACAACCAAGCCCTCTGCCCATCTCTTTTGATGCCTAGCCAATGTTCTCTCTACTACAATGCACTTCTTTCAAGCTGCTTGCAATGTGCTTTGACCCTGGAAGGTCTGGAACTCTCCGGTTTCTAGATTTTTCTGTTATTTGGACTTTCCCTACCAATAAATCATCCTATGACTGGAAATCTCCACCCCCCCCAAAAAAAATGCTTGCAAGGAAATGATGGGGGCTTGTGTGTGACTAAGAGGGCCTGAACTAATCAATCCATCTTTCAGAAACAAGAAGCGCTCTCAGTCTCGTTTCCCTATCTATCTGTAAGAGGGCAGCTGGTTCTTAGATAACCTGAGCAGTGGACACAACAGGACAAAAGAATCTTCGTGAAGCAAAGGGAAAGGTCCTGCACCATCTTCCTCGGAAACAGGTTGGTGAGAGAGAGAGGAAATGGATATCCTGTGTTTGGGGATTTGGAGTTTCCTGGAAGATCTGCATTGTTAGGGGCCGTGTTGCTTGGTCCACCTGTTCCCTGTCCATGGCCTGTTCTATACAGCACAGTCCGCACACCCAAAGTCAACCTTAGCAGCTGGGTGGTTCTCCCCAACATGATCCAAACTGTATTCATTCTGGGAATGCCATTCAACCCTTCAGCGCTCAATGAATGGCGCTGGATACCTTACAACAATATGCTTTCTAGAGTGTATTTTGTTATTATGTTTTCTTTGGGGTTTCTGTATTTGATTTTGTTTTATTGAGACTTCCCGCTTCTGCTCTCAGCTAAGATCAAAAGTGATGAAGCTACAACTGGCCTGGAGTGCACCAGACCCCGGGGAACAGGCTCCCGTGGGTTCTCGCTGACTCTGAGTCCGCCTGACAGCGGTGTTATGCGTAAGGAAGTGTACTCTGTAAGCAGGCCCAAGAGAGGCCAGCCAACTGCTTCCTTCTGCTTGGAGCTGGAATACTTGGGCAAGGAGTTGAGGCCTGAGCCCCGCTGAGGGTTTGGCCAAACTCCTTGGGGTTCCGGGTTGCTCGCCATGCAGTGCTGAGCACTTCCGGTCCAGGCCAGTGCCTGCACGATTTGAGCAAAGGCTGCTCTCTGGCTGTTGCCATCCTAGAGGACCACACTGCATGTCGGGACTCACTCAAGTACCTCAAAGTGCATTTCAAATGTTTTGGGTTCGGCAAACCCTATACTGTGCTGGGCCCTCCTCCCCTCCACACCGCCCCTGCCCCGCCCCGCCCCCTCAGCTCTTTTTCAAACCCCTGCGTGTTTCAGGGGAAATTCAATCCATATTTACACTTAACTCATCAAAATACTGTTTTTGTGAAAACCCAACTGCATGTCCAGGGCTCTTGAGGAGCTCTTTGAAAAAGAAACTTTTTAAAGCCTTCTTTTTTCTTAGAAACAGGAAGTCCCATTTATGCCAAAAGTTAAAAGAACTTGAACCTCACAAAGAAAAAAAAAAAATTGGCACTCTCTCTGGAGTTTCATTTGCACAGGTTTCCAGGGGGTTCTAAACTTGGCAAATCGTGTGGTGTTTTGCAAGCAGCAGGCCCTACAAACAGCACCCAGCATCAGGCACCGCACTCCAGCCGTGCTGCACCGAGGCGCTACGCTGATTATGCCACACATGAAAGCCAACCTGAAGAGCCTCGCAGGAGCAGGCAAACCTGTGCAGGAAGATCTGAGCTTCATCCGTGCCTTGAGGTGCATCTGACTGGTTCAAGCGCTGAGTAAATGACAGGCTCCCGACACTCCCCAAGTCCTGACTTTTAAAAATAGAAAGTGAGACGTTCGGGCCAGAGGTTTTTTGTTGCTGCAAAGCCCAGACACAAAACCTGGGGCCAGGAGCTGCCGTGGTAAAACCAGGGGTGCTGTCTGCAGTGGGGCGAAGGAAAAGGGAAGTTTTCCCCCCACCGGGCAGGGTCCCTCCAAGGGGCTGCTCCCCAGGCTCGCACGCTCCTGCTGAAGGCTTGATTTCCCTGCCCCAGGTTTCTGACTCAAGTCCGACAGGGCCAAGTCAGGCAGTCACCTGATCTCATCCGTGATTCATCGAGACCTCTGCCGGAAGTGTACTTTACAAATCCTGCTAAGAGAGCCCTCTCACTATCTTGACATGATTTTCCTATTACCCTGCAGAACTTTTCATGAAGACATAAAACAACAGTGTTTTCCTTGGCCAGGCTGAGGGTGGGGGGGACCTGCTAGCTACTGTCTCCATCATGGATCTTCACTTCTGTCCATCCCTGCCTTCCCATCTACAGGGGAGGGCAGCTTGACATGCACACAGGCACCTGGGCTGAACCCCTCGAGAGTCACAGTGTAAGCTGCAAAGTTCCGCCATGGAGCTCACCCCACGCACGGCGTTAGAGGCCCACGTTCCCCAGCCAACAGGTGATGGGGACTGTCTTTTAGGAACTAATTCTGCTGGTCCCTCCTACGGTTATGGCACAGCTTCCCGTCTGCCAGGCCTTGTCCCCAGCCACCCACAGGTGCACTCAGACAGAAATACCTGTGTTGTCCAGCGGATGGGATGTCCTCCATCAGCGATCGCCCCCTTCCGGTGGGGTCACCCCCATTCAGAATCGACCTGTGCCCAGGAAAAGGATCAAACCTCGTTGTGAACATCATTACACAAAACCAGAACATTCTAGAAGCGACTCTGGGGCCACATGCATGCCATGCCTTGGCTGTTTCCCCATACACCCCAGCGTCTGTACGAGGAAAGGAAAGGCTCCCGTCTAGGACACAAGGCACCTTCCTGTTTGCTTGGCTGCATTTGCACGATTTCGAAAAATCAACTGTCTCCCCTTTTTGCCTTCCCCTAGGGCAGGCTCCGGTGGCCTGTGAAAACATCCCCAGCAAAACAGTTCTGGCGGAGGCTGCTTTCTGTTAACCTTGGGCATACACTTCTCATTTGAAAGCAGGAAAAAAAAAGAAATGCCATATTGTTTCCTCTCAACTTCTCTAACTTCGCTTGGCACAGCATTTGCCAGCTTAGACCACCTATCACGCAGCCAAGCCTTGGAGAAAACTCTCTGATGGGAAGGGTTGAGAATTTGTAAAGCAAGAGTGCCCTCTAGTGGAAACGCAAAGGATACCAGGCGATTTACCAAGCCATCCTACCTAAGCCCCTTAAATTTTAATCTCTTTGGCAACGATTCTGTTACAGATTTGGAGATCTGAATGAAATTTTATTTTGCATATGATTCTAAACAGGTAGGTCCTCTACATGAGGGCAATCTCTATAGTCCCTACAGTTAGTTCTGTAAATTGTACACTCAGAGTTCTGTACAGGTTATTCCAATCTCCTATGCACTTCCAGCAGATAACCTGTACTCAACAAACCACCCAACCACGCAATGAGAAAACAGTGCCAAGGAGCCAACAGAAATTATCGCTTGTAAGCCAAACACAGAGACAGTTCTTCTCAACATCTTCCTTATTTCTTTTTGCAAAGCAATTTGCCTTACTCTATGCTTCTGACGGTCAAGAAGTAGTAACTTCCTGCACTTCATTTATTTTAAAGCTCAGGACGGAGTGCCCAGTTATTTCAGCCTCATTTCCATCTGGGGATTTCCACTTTTCTTTCCTGAAGTCATGTGTTTGCCATTTGGCCAATTTCAGCTGGCCCAGAGCTTTCCCCAAGCCCTCTTGGTGAAGCGAGGCTTGGTGCACGGCTGTGAGTCCAAGCGCGGCTGTGTCAGACAGCACCGGAGCGTTCCGCTCAGACTTGCTGACTGCACTTACAGAGAGAAAAAAAAACCCACACAGGCATTTTCCAGAAATACTTATGATTAACTTAAATTGAACCTAGGAGAAGACTAATCTCCCCAGGCATTATGTATTCATTTCCTCCGCGGGCCAATTAAGTAATTAATACTGAGTTTTGCAGGGGCAGTCGCCGGAGTCCTTACTAGAGGTCATTCCCCACCCCCCCGCCCCCAGTGCGTCTTAGTGGAGAGGGGCTGCAGCCAGGGCAGGCCTTAGTCTACACACCACCCAGGCAGAATCCCAGAATACAGGCCAGCGGTGGGACTCGAGACCACAGACTTCCAAGACTGGGCTTTTCTGAAATAAACGCCGTGAAGATTGGTACTGGCAATTTAATGTCATCAGACCCAAACCACACAGACAGCCGCTGCTGCTTCCTTTGGTCCCAGAGTGAAGGAAAACTGCTGTCAGGCCCATAGATCAGTGGCTACTTAGCAGAACTTTTTTTTTTTTTTTGAAAGGCAGCATGACAGAGAGGAGAAGAGAGGGACAGAGAGAAATGCTGAAGTCCAACGAGGCAAGCCAGCGCCGGTGGAGCGTCACCTTTCTCCCAAGGGTTGGTTTGTCCTTGACCTTCGTGATTCCAAAACTAAACCACTCACAGGGGACAGGGAGAAGCATTCTTTGCAAAACTTTGCTATGGAAGGCAGCAAGAGCAAGTCTTGTCTCTTGCCCAGAGGCCTCAAGCATCTAGTGTCAACGTTGGAGCTGCTAAAGATAAAAAGAATAGTATTAATGGACCCGAATACTTCACTCAAGGACAGACAAGCAAAGCAAGGAACTGGTCCACGGTCCTTGTCATCAACCACTCAACAGGAAAACTTGAGTCTATTCCCTGCCTGCCCCGATGCGATGCGTGCATTCCTCCATGTCTAAAATGAGAGCAATGATTTCGCCCTGTGAGGGCAACAAGTGGTTACAGAGACCAAGAATCCAAAGGAGCAGACTTCTTGGTTGGTTGGCTTGAAGACAGAAGTTGCCCTGAATTTGCTTTGTCAGTTACTGTTGCTGATTGCAGGCCAAGGGAAACAAGGAACCAGTGCCTTGGGTCCACCTGATTTTGTAACAATCCACGTTACTCTGTCCCAATTTCTCTGAGGCACATCAACATCCAGGTGAAGAGAATCCCAGTTCGTCATTTTCCAATGTTCTTGTTTAAATGGCACCAGTGTTTTCTCCAGAAGAAATACTTTTTTAAAAAAAAATAATTAAGTCCCACTTTAGTTTCTAAAATACTTTCTAGCAAGATAAAACCTCTAAAATCGTTATTCAGAAGTTCAAGTACTCGCGACAGGTGCAACAGCACATTCTGTTGTTCTTTGTGATACATTTTGCAAGGTGTTGCCCCACACTCCAATCCAGCTGAGTTACAAAATGCTGCTCTTCAGCAGTAATTCCACAGTTTGCAACGTTTCTTTCTCTGTCTGCATGTTAAACTAGAAAGGCATCGAGCAAGGTGACTTGTTAACCGGTGGGGAGGGACCGCAGAGCAAGGAGAACTTACTCCAGTGGAGAGCAAATGGAAACCTTCTCTCTCTATCTTATGTTCTCTCCTGCTGTCAGACAGCACAGGGGAAGGAAGAGCCAGAAGACCCACTGCGAAGAATATCCAAGGCTCTGGTGGTGTACAAATCAAGTCCTCACCCTGGCCGAGGCCTTCGCCTCCTCAGTCCAGTCCAAGGTAGAGGGGACAGCGAGGAGCTGGTCAGCAAATCAGGTCTGCAGCCGACTCAGTGCTGTGGCTCAGAAGTGCAGGTGGATTGAGTGAATTATGTGTGGGCTCAGGACATGCCCACCAAGCCAAGTGTGGGCAGCCTGCCTCGGGGGTGCATGAGGAGCTGAGCAGCAAGGTCCTTCCGTCTCCACCTGTCTCCACCGTGCGATGAGAGCTGGAGTCAAGCAGACGAGGCAGGCATTTCTGCTGGATATCTAGGGGGCTGCCCCTTGGGAGGTAACGGGGGCTTGTGAGCCCTTCTTGTAGAGCACAGACAAAAGGATTGTTTGAGATCAGGGAGTTGACCAAGCCACACGTTGAAAATTTCATGCGAATGTTCATTCCAGCTACCCGCGTTGGATCTTACCAAGCACAGAAGTGTTTTGTTAGTTGGTGAAACACCTTCTTGCCAGTTCGCTAGCTGTCTCACCTCGTCACGCTCCTTTGAATCCTCCCACTGGCACTGTCCATCTGTGACATGGTCAGCGTTGGGCACGCGCTGATGGTATTCAGCCATTTCGGTAACAAATGTTGCTCTTCTTCAGAACTCAGCAGAGTTAGAACCTCTCCCTGCCCACACTCCTTCCTTCCTCCATCTCACTCCTTCTTAGTCGTCAGTCACATCCAGGGAGGTCTGGCCTAGGATGGCAGACTCTCAAACAGACTGGCAGACATGGGTGGGTCAGTCTCCAGCATCTTCAATGAAATGCACCGTATACAGACAGGCAAACAGCAGGGGGATAAAACAAAGAAAAAAAGGAAAGGTTTGTAATGCATCAGCATTGATGCAAATGTAGTTTTGTCAAACTTTGGCTTACATCTCTGTCGAATCAGTGATATACTACTAGGCCCAGTGCGACAGCCTAGTGGTTAAATCCTTGCCTTCCATGCGCCGAGATCCCATGTGGGCACCAGTTCATGTTCCAGCTGTTCCATTTCCCTTCCAACTCTCTGCTTGTGGCCTGGGAGATCAGTGGAGAATGGCCTAAGGCCTTGGGACGTTGCACCCATGTGGGAGACCCAGAGGAGGCTCCTGACTCCTGGCTTGATATCAGCTCAGCTACCTTGCGACCACCTGGGGAGTGAACCAGTGAATGGAAGATCTGTCTCTCCTTCTCTCTGTAGATCTGCCTTTCCAATAAAACTAAATAAATCTTTAAAAAGATGATATATTACCATAATTTTATTGATCTGCAAGTATTTGAGCAGACAAAAAAAGTTACCCTTAAGGCTGAAATGTAAATTGATCCCTTTGTTTCATTCATATGCATCATTACATACTGTGAAGATCCATGATGAGCTCCACAAACCCAAATTTATACCTCAGACACTTATGATATATTTTTATTAATTAGCTATTCATGTATTTTTTTTTTGAAAGGTAGAATGACGATGAGAGAGGGAGAAATAGCAATCTTCCCTTCACTGATTCACTCCCCAAAGGGCCCAACAGCTGAGCTCGGCCAGACTCTGTTCCAGTCTCATTTGGATGAGTGCTGCGGCCCAATATTTGAGCCATCTTCTGCTGCTTCCCCATGCATTTTAACAGGAACCTGCATCGGAAGACAAGCAGTGGGGGATGAAATGAATGCTCCAAAATGGTATACCAGCATCGCAAGTGCAGCTTAACCCACTGCCTGCTCTAAGATCAGAAGACAAAGGACACTCCCAGATCTCTGCAGACGCGGAGATGGCACCCAAGGCCATCTTGAGAAGCCGTCAACAAACGAGAAGACATCGCAGGCGAGAGAACGGCGCTCGCTTCGGCAGCACATGTACCAAAACTGGAATGATACAAAGAAGATGAGCACGGCCCCTGCGCAAGGATGACACAAAAAGTCATGAAGCATCCCATATTTTTTACAAAGATCAAATCTAAATGGATAAGAGACCTAAAGCTACACCCAGAAACCATCAAACTTTTGGAGGAAAAAGTTGGAAATATCCTGCAAGACACAGGAGTAGGCAATGACTTCCTAGAAAAAGCATCGAAAACAAAGGAAGTCAAGACCAAAATAAACAGAGGGGACTATTTTAAGCCAAGAAGCTTCTGTATACGGCAAAGGAAACAATCCACAAAGTAAAAATGCAACCAATGGAATGGGAGAGGATCTTTGCACACTAGACAGGAGACAAAGGGTTAATTTCCAGGATATACAAAGAACTCCAGAACAATAATAACATCAAAACAAACAAACCAGTCAAGAAATGGGCACAGGAAATAGGCAGACATTTTATAAGGGAACAAATTCAAATGGCTAACAGACACGTGAAAAAAATGCTCCAGCTCTCTGGCAGTAAGGGAAATTCAAATAAAAACACCACTGAGGTTCTACTTAACTCCAGAAAGAACTGCCCACATACAGAAAACTACCAACAACACCTGCTGGTGAGGTTTCGGGGAGTAAAAGGAACCCTACTCCACTGCTGGTGGGATTGCAGTCTGGTGCAACCACTATGGAAGTCAGCATGGAGAACACTTAGGCCATTAAAAATCCACCTACCATATGACCCAGCAATAGCACTTCTGAGAATATACCCAAAACACTTGTTACACGAGAAAGCAACATGCATCCCAATGTTTATTACAGCACAATCAACAATTGCAAGAATGTGGAAGCAACCTAAATATCCATCATCAGAGAACTGGATAAAGAAACTGTGGTTCATGTACATTATGGAATACTACTTAACTATTTAAAAAAAAATACTATTCATTGTGGCCAAATGGGTCAAACTAGAGACTAGTATGCTAAAGGAAATGAGCCAATCCCAAAAGGTAACATATCATATGTTTGCTATAATAGAAGATATTATGATGTCAAATCTAGGGATAGTACATGTGAATCTGACCTTTTGTCACTATGTAATAAGATCACTTTCGTAATAAGATCTTGTGACGTAATTCATTAATCAGCTTTCCATTACAGAGTGATTGTTTACAATGACCTGAGATGGCCCAGAGATAACAAAGATCTCATTCTCATTGTACCTCCATGAGGGCCCTGGATACAAGAATGAACTCACAATGAAGACTGACATTGTGAAAGTGGAGGGGGGTACAGACGGGAGGGGAGGTACAATGAGGATGAGGGGGAGAGGGAAGGGAGCCCCCAATGCTGACTAAACTGCATCAAAACCAATAAAAAAGGAAATTAGTGTTATATATATATATGAGAAAGCACAGTCCAGTGCCCAGACAAAAAACACAAAGAAATCCTGAGGGCGGTTGGCCAGGTCCTTTTATCCTATAGACCACGGGTAGAACTCAAAGCATTAACACTAGACCTGGCAAAGAACTCAACAGGTCAAAGTTTAGAGGCTGTTGGGTGAGAACACAAGCAAAGGTGTGAACAACCATGAGTATGGACTCTGGGGTCCCAGTGTTTTCATGTATATTCCAGGTGCACTGCACTTCCTGTCTCTTTTCCCTTAAATGTTTATTTTGACATTTCTCATGAATTTTCGGAAAATTCCCTCATAGGCAGTAATTTTAAACGCTTGTGTGAAAAATAAATCTTTTAAGTCAACGTTCTACAGACGTTCAAAGAGCCTTGAGATACCCAAAGTCCTATCTTGAAAAGAAATGGCTTCAATTCACAGAACCAAGGGATCCTTCTTACGGTGTGACTGGTGAGCCTGCCTTTGCCCCGAAGATGGACAGGAGTGGGAGCTATCTGCATGACAGTTCGGTATTTAAGCTCCTGACCTTCTCACTCCTCTCCAACCATTATTTAGCATCACCTGACCTTAGGTTACCCACCAGCAAACCAGCTGGACAACTCCCACCAGAGGCTTGCACAACTACCAACAGGTGCTCTCCTTGCAACATCTCCAAGCTAATATTTCCAGGTGTTTTTTTTTTTTTTTTTAAATCTTTACTGTGAGCTTTATGAATCCTTTGTAGTTCTCCTTGGAGTACTTCATCAGAGCTAAACAATCAACTTACAGGCTTATCTAGAATTTAAGAGACTAAGAGGAAGTGTTTTGCATTTAAATGATCGAAAGAGACATGTCCAAACAAAATAATGAAACACATGAAAAAATGGACAGAAATGATTAGTTAAAATTTACTTAGACACTGTGACGTATAATGCCTGTTGTAACTGAAATTATATCGTGTACAGTGACCATGACTTTGAAGAGAATACATTTAGTGTGGAAGGAAAAATATGCAATCACAGCTGACGGGTCTTGGAACGTGCTACCTGAGCAATGAGATCTGTCTCTGACTGAAGCCATGCTGTTCCTGCTGGCATCCATTAGCTAAATGTGGCTGTGTAAGTTTAAGTTAATTGAAATTTTAAAAAACTGGAGATTTTTCACTAGCCACATGTAGCTCACAATCAGATGTTACAGGTGTCTAGTACTTCCCATAGTCCAGGAAGTCCAAATAAACAGCTCTGTTCTGGAGACTGAGTCTTTAGCTGTTCGTGCGGGAGTAGCTCGAGATGGAAAGGATCTCGAGGTACTATATATTTGTAAGAGGGGCACATTTAGGCCTCTTCATTGCACACTAACTTTGAAAGAGGAGTTGGAGAGCTCGGAGTGTGACTATAAACTTTCATTCATTTTGAAAGCTTTGATCAATTGTTTTGTTTTGGGAGTGGATGTCCAAAAAAAAAAAAAAAGGTACTAAATCAAGAAGCCAGTCTTGGATGTGGAGAACATTTAGAAATAATAACCTTCATCCTACCTGACCAGCCAGTCGGGAAAACAGACAGGAAAGATAGTAACTCAGTCCATTTTGTGTTGCAGTAACTGTATTTATGAAACAAGGTAATTTATACAGGAAGGAGATTTACTTTTAACAAACTGGAGACTGAGAAGCAAATACTTTAGTTTTTTTTTGTTTTTTTGTTTTTGTTTTTTGCTGCACTGTTACAGGCAGAGGGCATCTCATAGGGAGACAGCGCCAGCTGCCAGCTCAGAGCTCTCCTCCTGTTCTCGCAAAGCCAACATTGCCATCCTGCCCTCAATAATCCCATCTCCCAAAGGCCCCAGCCCCAATTGCCATTAACATGTAAAAGTGGAGATTAAGCTTCCAACAGGAACGTGGTCAAATCATAGGTGACAGTCACTGCAGCTTCTAAAATGAGTAGTAACATTCTATATAGAGAGGAAATTCTTTGATATATTTGAAAATCAGAGTGATACGAGCAGAGTGAGACAGAGTGAAAGATCTTTCATCCACTGGTTTATTCCCTGTGTGGTAGCAACAGTCACACCTAAGTGAAATCCAGCAACCAGGAACTTCATCTTGGTCTCCCACCTGGGTGGAAGAAACCCAAGTTCTTGGGCCATCTTCCACTGCCTTCTCAGACACACTGCTAGGACGCGGGCCTGGAAGCAGAGCAGCCAGGACATAAACAGGCACTGCGTCAACAATGAGGACATCGCAGCTCCGTGTCTGCCTTTCTTTATGCTTCTCTTTTACTTATCCAACAAATATTTTAAACATTATTTATAATACCTGTTTAATAAAAAAACCTCTCTTTTCAAATTTTGCCTGTTCCGATGAGAGCAAACAGGAAGGGGAAACCTTAAATGAGAACACACAGAAGAAATGAGAATGTCTTTTCTGAAAACAGAATCCCCTGGGAGGCGTCACGGTTTCTTCAAACGTGAGCCCTTGCACACGCAGATGGTCTACGTGAAAGCGTTCTTGATGACTGCTGTGGCAAGACAGCTTGCAAGGCATAAGACCTACAGAGATACCAATTTGAAACCAACATTTCAAAACTAGCTGGAGACAGAACAGATTGCTTTGAAACAGGCCCGGTGGGAAAGTCTAGAGGCTAACATCCTTGCCTTGCATGGGCCAGGATCCCATATGGGTGCTGGTTCATGCTCTGGCTGCTCAACTTTCTTTCCAGCTCCCTGGGGTGATGCCCAGGGCTTGGGGACCCCGCAGCCACGTGGAGACCCAGCTTGGGATCAGCTTAACTACATCCTAGTTACTACCAGAAGACACCCCCGCCCTAAGTGTATTTATGATTTTCCAAGGTTTCCTTTTGAGGTTGTTTTTCCATTCAGAACTTTTGTGATGCCAAAACTTTCATCTGCCTCTTGGAAGTTTTTTTTTTTTTTTTGAGAAATAATGAACTGAATTACGATGTACATTAGTAGTGATTTTTTTTTTTTTTTTGCCTAAGGCTAATATACATAATCTCTGACACTTTCAGATTGAGCTCTTTTTGATGATGTTCATTTATATTCTAGATTGCGCCTATAAATCAAGTTCAGTGAGAATATCTTCAAAATACAAGGGACAAGCTTTTGATAAATGACATTCATTTTTTTAAATCAAGAACACAGAACGAGCCTCAGATATCATCTGATATCTCTGGGAAGCTGACCACACTCGATGACTTTCTTAAAGTTGTCAGGAGCAAAGCAAGCCGATCAGCAGTGCCAGAGCTGGATGAACAAGACGAGAAACTACGTTTTACAAAGACAGAAGAAACTGCAGTGTGTTCTGTGCACTGCTCAGACCACAAATTACAGACTGCACAGCGCAGTATCTCTGTGTCTTCTATTTAATTACAGAAATCAACTAAAGCATCTGAAAGAGCAGCAACGTTATCTCCATTGGAAAAAAAAAACTGGATGACTTTTAAAAAAACCATTTTTGTTTCAAAAATGAATACAGAATTCAAACTCTTGACCACGGGTAAATCTATCAAGTCTTTCCAAAGTTGTTTTGAAACAAACACACAGACAGCAGGGAAGGAAATGTTGAGTGACCATGCTGAAAGCAAAGGTTTCATTGCCTTTCAGACTGTCGTCAGAGCTGCCGCGCCCCCATCAGTGCTGCGTGCTCACGGACTGACACGGGCCACGAAACACAGCGCCAGCCGC